GTGGTTGATATCCCCAAAATTATCCAAATTGCCATTTTCTGTGTGCTGTTGTGAAATGAGCTAGCTATGTACCTCCACTTCCCTTACTGATATTTCTCAATATGAGTGACAAAATAGTTTCAAAATGATTGATACCACACCTCAAACCATTAACAAAAGGCTGAAAATTTTTCCATACTAGGGGGCTTTGCCCCCTGCTCGCTTTGCTCGCTAACCTCGGGTGGGGGGGCTAGCCCCCCCGCTCGCTTCGCTCGCTCCCCCCAACTCTCTGGTGCGACTGCTTGGGTAAAGAGCTTGCTTCTTATAATCCCATTATTTATTTCATTTTTCTGAAGGAGCTAATGTTTCTTTTTCTCTGTAAGGCACATACGGAGGAGGGTCCCCACATATGGACACCCCCCCCCCAGCGTCCCAGGAAAATTTCGACCTTGACTCGATCCAATAAGAATTTCCCAAGGTCGACCTTGACCCGACCGTGACTCAACATTGGCCCGACCTCGGGCCTATATTGGCCCGACCTCGGGCCGACATTGCCCCCCTGACCTTTCTGACCACTGAAAATTCTTCCGCGTTAGACGAAACCTACTTTTTTATTATATAGAGAGACACAAAAGTGATCAAAAACTATCATCCGAATTCTAACTTCGCAATGGTTGTTGACCGGGGGCTTCGTGACATAATGTTTTCATTCGAAAGCAAAATGTCCAAAATTGAAATATGATTGTGATTACGGATTCAGGCTATCACCCCAAGTTCGCAAGCTCCAGCCCCTGGTTTTTCCATTCCAACGTCAAACCTCTGACTAAACTACTTAGTGTCAACATCCCAACAGCACTCGCTTTCGCAATTCTCTACTTCTACATCACTCGCCGACTGCTGTGTCCACAGTAAACAACAAATGTTATTCAAACGTAAACCACCCTGGGGCACTATTTTGCTTTCACCTGCTCCACATCCACCATTTAAGAAATGACCAAAACCAAAAAATCGCATCTGAAACCAAGAAAACCACGAATATTCCACAAATTTTAGATCAACGTTAGTCACATAGACATCATTTGAAATTCCACCGCTTGTCTATAAATTTTACAGAACTCATCGCAGTGATAAAAAAATACAGATCCTTTCACCGATGGTATCCTCAATTGATTATGCTTCCAACAATCGCTTGATCGTTACAGCTTGTTGGAAAAAAGACAAATATAAAAAAAAAAGGATCTTTACCTTCAACTGAACGGCCTCATCGCATCATCACCATCAAGGTTTTCTATGTATTCTAAGTATTTGTTCATCATATATTTGTTAAATCTCTTCATCTCCAACATACCGGTGAACAAAAAAACGTTCTCCTAACTTTCAAGACGTACGTATATATGACGTAATCAATAAATACCGGGGGGAAGGTAAAACGTACGGTTTTATAATACTGACTTCCACTCCCGGGTGATCCTCAATCGTTACGAAGCGAAATTTTCTTCTCATTCTGCACTGAGATTGCCACAGTTGCGGACCCTACCTCATTCAGTGTGAATAGAAACGCGAGAACTTGAACTGCAATTTTTTCTCTTATTTGAAGCACAACATCAGAAAACTCGCTCGATCTTCTTCGGTTAATCAATTCGGTCGGTCAATTTGATTCAGTTTAGTTAGATAAGTTGTGATAGAGTAGACGAATTATACAACAATGTTGATCACACTGGCTCTGTTGATGGGGTTGTGCATGGTGGGGCTCAATGGGGTTCCTGTGGACAACGAAATGCTAACGAGCAGTGACAGAACCCTTTATATAAGAAGTCTTCCTGGGTATCCTGGTGTTAGGAGCGATCTTTATGAAGTCTACATGGAACCTTATTATTTTGTAAGTAAGATTTATTACATAAATTATGAAGGGGTGTGAGGAGATCTAGCAGCCATGATCCACTTTGCTTCGAAATTTTCCTATCCATGTCAACAATATTTATGGCGACAATTCATAAATGTATTAATCATTTTTTAAATACACGATTGAAACCATTTTTAACATCTATTTATTTCAATGAAAAATTTTCGAGTTACAAAAAGTAAATGATTCACTCATTTGTACTAAATCCTCTATTTGGGTACAATGAACGGTTTCATATCTAAATAATGAAGTCTGTATTTGACTCACAAGGAAACATTTGTTTATGTTTAGAAAACTGTGTAGGTATTTTATACTTAATAGCAAATGAGGTAATTTTGAAAAAAAAACTATTGCGAGCTGTTTTAATTAATTTAGTCAATTCAAATAAGAGCAGATCCACGCCAAATCAGCAGGTCAAAAAAAGTAAATGCTGGGGATTTTTATCTCAATGTTTTATTTCCCAGATTTTTGTCTAATAGCTACGGCTATTAGATAAAAACTGAGAAAAAATGGAAAAATATTGATAATTGAGGGAGTTATGATTTTTCGAACATTTCTAGTTTATTTCAATATTTTTTCTTGTTCCAAATTGGCCCCGATATCTCAGCAGGGTTTCAAGCTATGAAATCACTCTTTGGCACATTTAAAGAACATGAAAAATGCTTCAAAATGAGACATTGGACATAGCATTATCTTCAGTTTGATGGGGTTTATACGAGAGAACGTTTTTTACATCGTCAAAAACTTAATGTTTGAAAAATGTGCAATTTTCACCAAAATTTGTCAATAAAATGACAAGAATTTTGGCGCCAATTAGAGTCTGTCCTTCGCTGCAGTTCGGCGAATTTTTTCATACGTGAAGTGGAATGTGTGACATCTTACTCAAGACCTTTACCCAAGAGTCATTCGTGCCAGTTGTGCCCTCGGTGAATGATATAAAATCGTCATGTCCCTGCTGACAAATTCTATGGATTTTTCTTGCTGATTTATATCACAAATATTTCAATATTCTTATGCATTTTTCAATACCAAAGATCTATTATAAAACATTGGATACAAACAACTTTGACAAAAAATCAAGAGAAGGATAGACTGATAGTGATCTCTCTATATACAATTTATTCTATTGAGATATTGTTGATAGACATTCCTAAACATAAATTTTCGTGTTTTTTTTCATCGTATATATTTTTCTTAGGTCATTTTGAAAAATAAAAGCGGAAAACGCAGAAATTTTTGCCGGAACATTTCTGTTTGATAATCCTCAAGTTTCATGGAGAATAGTATTTCAAAACAATTACACCAATTCATTAGAACAATTTCATCCCAGAAATGAGAATAAAATAGATAAATTAATGTACGTAACCCTAGTACAGTTTCTCGAGAATTCCATTGTCATATTATACTGAAAAAAATTGATCCAGCAAAATCAATCGATGTATCTTTTTTCATTACTTTTAGTAATATTTTATTTAAAATTTGGAAATTCTAAACTAATTAATAATTTAAATTTCCAGTTGACGATGAATTAAATAATTGACCATATGGAATTGTAAATTGATCATAGAGCAAATATTTATAAATTCCATAAAGGTTTTTTCGATTAGCCAAATAAGCGTCAATCCTCCGAACTCAATTATTGATTGATGAAATAATTAGGAATCTTATATTTAATTAATGATTAATTGAATAATTAAAAAAATGATGAGTACGATTGACAATCGACTTTTTCAAAATTTAACTTTATTTAAAATTTATGATTCTGCCAATGTCCGGTTGAGATTTTTCCACAGAAAATTCCTTGACATAAATTTTCCGAATTCCTTTTTCTTTTATTTTTTTATGAGAGACGAGGGAAACAGTGAAAGAATGAGAAAATGGTTGCCACTAAATGTCTAAGAAAAAAAAAACAGATGAAATCAATTGATCAGTTTCAAAGTTTTGAATTCATGGTTTTTCGTAAGTAGTTACGAAGCTATCTCCATAAAGATCTCTTCGTAGAATTGAAAGAAAAATTATGTACATCATGTTCTACATTTTTTTCCAAGTAGTTTCAAGTTAATGACTGATCAATATCTGAGTCATAAGCTAACGATTATATACTTTTTTTCTGACTTTCAATGCATCATTGCTAGGTTGGCCGAGCGGTCTAAGGCGCCAGATTTAAGCTCTGGTTCCCGAATGGGAGCGTGGGTTCGAACCCCACACTTAGCAAATTTTTTTTTTCTGCATAATCTTTTGAAAAATTCCGTCGCAAAATATATCCCGATAAAGACAAAAATAAATCACTTTTTTCATGAATTTCCCAGGCTATAGGAACAAAAGCAATGGTGGAAGTGAAGGCGTACAATGAGAATGGGATGCCAGTAGAAGGACCAATGGGAGTCCTCATGCTGGAACAATTTCCAGAAGGAGTCAGGATCACCGGAAGTATCATGGGGCTCAGCCAAGGACAACATGGCTTCCATGTCCATGAAAAGGGAGACCTAAGCAAGGGATGCATGTCCGCTGGAGCTCACTATAATCCCTACATGGTAGGCGAGACCTCAAGCATTGAAAGGAAACGCATAATTTCGATTTCAAAAATATCCCCCTTTTTATTTGTTATCAATTTGGAAATTCACAGAAGTTTAAAAATCTGGGCTGAATATTTTTACAGTATCAACCATTCGGAATAATTAACAAATGTTGTTTTGAATTTTGAAATTAAATTGTAATTTCAGACACCTCATGGATCACCAATGGATCCTCTCCGACATGTTGGTGATCTTGGTAATATCGAGGCTGGTGCCGATGGTACAGCACAGATCGACATAATGGATCATTATTTAACATTAACCGGTGTACGTGGAGCAATTGGACGTACAATCGTAGTCCATGAGAAACCAGACGACCTTGGTAGAGGTAATACCGAGGACAGCATGAAAACTGGATCAGCGGGTGCTAGGCTTGCGTGTGGAATCGTTGGTTTCGTTTGAACCAATCATTTATTTTTCACAGGGATTTTATTTTTTTTCTCTGTAAAAATACTGTAAGAATGAAATAAATTTTAAATGGATTCAGCGACGGAAATGATGACATTTCCTCACCTGATGATTTCTAAATAATTTTATCGGATTAATTATCCACCGACCATTGGTTGAATCACGATTGGTTTATTAGGGGAATCTCGGGAGGAAATGGTGCTGGTGAGAAAGAATTGAGAATTTATCTGATTTGAATTTTATATGAGGGATTCCATGGCGAATGAGTCAACGGCTGACTCTCACCCTCTTGGAATTGATCTCTTTTTTACGGTTGGGAGACCAGAAAAGCTATATCCCAGTTTTTTTCAGATTTTTTCAACACCCCATTTCGGAAATAGGATTTTTTCTTTGTTTTTTCGTCTTTTTTTCAATAACTCCAGTTCTATTCAGCCGATTTTTATTTATGACACAGCAAAATTTTCGATTTTCTGCCATCTATAAGAACAGTTTAAGCTATTTTTTTCAACTGCTAGGTGCTCATAATACCGAATTGTCAAATAAAAAGTTGAAAAACTTGAATTTTCGAAATTACGTCATGTTTTATTTTTCTCGTCTTTTTTCAATACCTTTTGTAATCAAAACAGGTATTTTGAGCCGTTATACAGGTGGGGTTTCTTCCTAGATGTATTTCATTTCCTATTTTTTCTTCTCGAAATTTTACGAATGTGGTCAAAATACCCCAAAAAGGCGTTGGTTGACTTTGATTATACACAGTATGAAGTGAATTTAAATGTATACTTCTATATCACGTATGTTTCTGATACATAATCGAAGTCGTTTTGGGATGTTTCGACCAAATTCGTGGAATTTCGAGAAGAAAAAATTAAAAATAAAATAGATCCAGGAAGAAACCCAAATTGTATGACAGCTCAAAATACTTGTTTTGATTATAACAGTTACTGGAAAAAAGTGAGAAAAATAAAAGGTGACATAATTTTAAAAATTCAAGTTTTTCAATTTTTTTTTTTAATAGGAAATTTGCTCAATTCATTCTAATTCCGCTATTCACACATTCCTCGTAACATATGGATAGGTAAACGGCGAAAATTATGGAGAAATATTGCCTAGATGCTTTATGATAATTATTTGAAAATCAGTCGTTTTCGAGGCCAATTTTTCGGTCATAACCAATTTTTCGGTCGAAAGATTTGAAATCATTAACTTCTAACAATTAATTATTACTTAATGAGCAATATTTCAAACGTTTGTGAATGAAAAATAAATTATTCAGGTCCCGAAGTTGAGATTAGAAAATTGAAAAAAATTCATGCAAGTTCCATATGTGGCATTATAAGCACCTAGGGATTGAAAAAAAAATTACCCGAAATCTTATTATAGCTGGTAGAAAATGGAAAATTTTGAGCCATTATAAATAAAAATTGGCCGAAGAGAACCCGAGTTATTGAAAAAAAACGAAAAAGCAAAGAAAAAATCACCGAAATAGGCTGTCGAAAAAATCTTTAAAAAATTGAGAGATAATTTTTCTAGCCCCCACTCGTAAAAAAAATCGAGATCAATTTCCAAAAGGGTGATAATCAGCTGTTGACTCATTTGGCATGGAATCCTCATGTTCATTGCGGAGTGGTTGGCTTTTTTCAATGAAAAAATTCATTAGTGCGATAATTTACTAGTTGATTAGACACTGGTGATACATGAATGTGATCCCCTGGGGGATTTTCGCATGTCTCCGTTCGCAGTATCATCATCTCCTCAATGGCCTGTCGCACTTTTATTACAACTTCGGGTGGCGAGCGCCGTCTTATTCCTGGCGCATCCGGTCGATGCTGAAGTGGCTCACATTGCTGTTGTTGTTGCTCAGGTTCTTCTACTGGTACCCTGAAGGTATGCGGCTGGACATGAACTAGCGGGCGTTGAACCGTAACAGTTAAGTATAGTAAAAGAGTGGAAAAATGTGCAGGAAAAAAGAGGTGTATGTTTGAAAGAGTAGGTTTTGTATCGATTCGATGGAGGTTCAAAGGGGACGTGAGCACGCAAACTAATTTAACAGTTGGTGGAATAACTAAAATTAGAATTTACACTGTTGTGGGATAAAGTACAGAGTGAAGGACTTGGGTTGCTCGAGGTTATTGAAAGTAGCTGGAAATTTATTTTTCCTTTTCTTTCACTACCTTGTACATCCTCAATCTCGAAAGCATCTGATATGTCATCCAGGTCATTGAGGTCGGGGCTAGAATGGATACAACCTCCTACGTATGTCAAGAAATCCACTACAAGCCTCTTAGATGCTCTCCACATAATAATTTGTACAAAAACATTTTGTGAAATTTGTGAATATTTGGGTTATTTTTTATCATAAGGTTTCTTTTTTGAGTCTAATCATCGTAAAATTTTATACACTGGGAATTTGAATAGTTTTATTTTTAATCCAATGAAGTTGGTCAGATGTCGCCACAAACTGAATTGAGGTGTGGTTGCGAGGGATGGAAAATTATCGATGATAGAATAGAATGGTAAAATTGATATTTTTAGAACCAGTTTTCGGTTCAAATTATCCACGGTTAACCCGTGGTTAACGTTCAGTTAAGACTCCACATCACTGAGCTCAACCAATCGAAGAGCTTAACAAGGAGTTAGTTTTAACCGAGGTCTAACCGCGGTTAGGGAACCCAAAAACTGGCCCTGACTTAAAACAAGCAAGGGGCTGGTCATTGAAGAAATTATTGGACCACTCGATTGGAAATCAAGGAAGAAATCACTAGAAATCACTGGAAATCAAGTGATTTTCATCTCCAGTAGTGATTTCTAATGACTTTTGGAAATCATCGGAAATCAGCAGAAATCATAAAGAAATCAGGTGTTTTCAGAAAGAATTCGAAATCATCGATGAAAGTGAAACTCAAATTTTTTATTTGAGCTGACTCGTACGATTCCGTTTGACCCTCATGACCTTCTCATGCACATGGTATTTGATTCTTACTATCACACCCATAAGTCCCTTCTAAACTCTTTGATTTCCGAACATTACTCATATGCGATTATCGACAGATGTCCCACTTTGGCCCCAAAATCATGATTCTTCGAGTGATTTCTTGAAATCAAGAAAGCATCGGAAACTATTGAAAATCATGGAAATCATGAAAAATCAAAAGAAATTATGATTTCTAATTCCTATTGAGAGGTTACAGAAATCACAGGAAATCATCTTATTCTGGAAATAACATTTGCATTTTCGGACTTTTTGGACCATATTGGATCAATTGGGGACGCTTAATAACAAGACGCCCTCTATGAATGTCTGCGTTAAGGGTGCACATCTACGATACACAAGCAAATGGGGGCTTGTATGAGCGCGTGTGTGTATACCTCTTTGACGGCCATATTGGAAAAAAACAGCGCCCTCAACGATATTTCCTGTTCCCAACATAACACAAAAAATCCAAAACTTAAATTTGAACGATTACACCCAAAGTCGGTCTGAATCATACCGGGAATCGACTAGTTTCATGTCGAATTGACGGAATTAATCAAGTCGGACTCGGACAGATGCAAACCAGAATATCGGTCTGATTCATGTCGATTTTTCGACTTGATTCAGACCGACTTCGGTTTGATTCAGGTCGATTTTTCGGTTTGATTTGAACCGATTGGTCGGTTTGATTGAAGCCGATTTTTCGGTTTGATTCAAACCGATTTTTCGGTTTGATTCAAGTCGATTCTTCAGTTTGATTCAGACTGATTTTTCGGCTTAATTCAAACCGATGTCGGCTTGACCAGCTTCTGTTTAAAATAAACCACTTTTCGACTTATATCAGACCCGGCATTCAGATTGGCCTAGTCCTTTTTTTATCGTTATTTTACATCGCTTCGACCCGGTTAGGGTATACTGCGATGATGATCAAGACTTTAAATGGTTAGATCGCACCATTCTACCCGGCCGGGATTTGAACTCGGAACCTTTAGCATGTGAGGCAACGAACTTACCCACTGCGCCAAGCCACCAGGCAATTGGCCTAGTCCGAGTCAGTTTGTTGTCAAAACACCTATATAGATGCATAATGATGGTCATAACCAATTTCTAATTTGTGATGGTCATGAATGAAAAAAATTGTTTCATCTATCCTATTCTAAAATGAAGATGAAAAATGAGAGTGATTTTCGTTTCGAAATGCACATTAGGCTAATACGAAATGAATTCAAATAAAAATTAATACAGAAAAAATGAAATTACATCTATATAGATGAAAAACGACTGTCATAATTTTTGGCAAATTATGACGGTCATAGAGGAGGGGAGGGGAATTGTGACAGCTGTCATATGACGCGTCATGTGACGCATTTGCATCTCTAATCATTCCACTTGTTATGTCCAAATCCGTGAGGCGTCGATGAACTAGCTGCGGATGGCATTTATCAGGACTTTTGAGAAAATCTTGTGAAGAACAACCCCTCGTTTTTAATTTCTCAAACACCCTACTATACGAACGCACCCAAATAGAATCCATCGCAGACAGATTCAAGAAACCGACCACAACTTTCGCCCTCAATAAGCTGGACCATATTTTAGACCTCTGCCACAAACGCATTCCTAATATCAAAACCCGATACAAATACCCGCAATAAACCCTACTAAAAAGCCTGAAAGCCATTCGCACAGCAGAATACGGTAACGACGCCTGGGGAGGCACAATTCTCTCCCAATAACACTACTTCACAGCAATAGTAGCAATAATAGCTCTCTATTTTCTTCACCATCACCACATTTTCCAAACTGCTTCACGCTCATCTCATCCAAGACAATGTCAAACATATTATTTTTCCATCTTAAGCATATAATGCTAACAACCAGTTGAATATTGAATTACTTATTTTTATCTTTTCGCTTATTTTCTCCGTTCTATAACCAACACATTGCACATATGTAACTTGTAAATACCAGGCTGAAGGCCCTCGGGCGATGGCCAGTCGCAAGTTTCTTGCCACGAATTCTGTTGAAAATAAAAAAATTAAAAAAAAATAAAAGTCTTGTGAAGCCCCGTTTTTAATTTATTTTTAATTTGTAACCGATTTAACTATCAAGAAATTTTCTTAGAGCAATATGACCGGAAAAAGTGGAAGGGGAAAATTAGAGGTTTACCAAGAACGAAAAAAAGTAAAATCCTTTCACTCAATCCCCAGTTCACTTTATTGAACGTTAAGAACAGAAACAAAAATATAACCTGTTTAGAAGTATATAACATTGTCCCGTAAACTACTCAAAGAAACCTTTGACATATTTGCACTATTCTGTATGACACTCTGACTAATCGATTCGAAATAAATTTCTGGTTTTTGATTTACTCGCAATTGAATTTTAATTTAACTTGAAAGTTTTATTAATTTAGCGGATTCTTCAACCTATTTCCTTCAGGGAAATTATCTTCTTTCGAAGATAAGTGCGGTCATGTTTTTCTTGAATGAGTTCGTTCGCAAAATCAAGTTGTTATTACTCTTTTTAATTGAACGCGTATGAACAAATTCAATAGAAAAACCTAGCGAATTCGTTAGAAAATTCTATTGAATTTCTATTGAACTTTTTATTAGTGTTTGGACGATTCTATTGAAATGTTCAATAGAAAATATTCAATGGAAAATGTGAATAGAATTTGATTTTTCTATATAACTCCTCGGCTCAAATTTTCCAAGTTTTTTCATTCTGTTCCTTTCCTTCTCATCAAGAAAATTAAACAAAAAAAGCATGGGAAATTTGAATTGAGAAAATTCTATAGAAAATATCTCAATGGAATAAGTTGTACAGAAACATCGAATTCCATTGATTTTTTCTATTGAATATTTTCTATTGAATATTTCAATAGAATCGGCCAAAAAAGAAAAGTTCAATGCAAATCCAATAGAACTTTCTAACGAATTCGTTAGGTTTTTCTATTAAATTTTGAGTCTATTTGGAGGGAGAAATCAACTTGTTGAATTTGTTTTATTTTAGGTAAGAGAATGGTGATTGAAATTATCACGTTGAAACTTGCTGCTAGCTGATTTATGATGATTTTGCAGGTTTCAATGTGAGTATCACTCAATACGAGGGTTCGATGTCTTGGGAAAAAAAATTGAAAATAATTTTTTGTCATTCCGGCCGTAAGGCAGCGTTTCACGACCATCTCTGCCTACGGCCGTCATGACAAAAAAGATTGTTCGTCATACGGCCAAAAAAAACTTTTCTGACAAATATGATTGCAGCCTTCGCCTTCGGCTCGTGCTGCAAACCCCATAATCGCCAGAAAAGTTTTTTTCAGCCTAATGACGAAATATACTATTGTGTAACGAGAAACCGGATATTCGGTTTCCGTTCAACCGAAAAAAGTGGTAACATCAAAATTAATTGATCCGTAAATATTAATATATTGTGTTATTCGTCCGTAAACATACACTTTTTCACACGCACTTGCAAGACATCCTATTTTTGTGATACCTGCCGAGTTCACGGTTCGGAACGGTAGTGGGGGTAAAGTGGTTGGTTTTGTGCACCAGTGCGTTAAGTTCAAGAGCGCGCGTAAAGTGATGTTTCCGCACGTCGTGCGGAAAACAACTTCTTTACGCACACTAAACCGTTTCAAAAAGTCAATTTTTCCGACAGGTATTACAAAAAATGCATTTATGTCGCGCCGTGTAATAAGTCAAATTTATCGCACGCTGCGCTTCGCGCAGCCTGCTCAAAGCTCGACTTCTGCACGACTTGACATAAAATATTATAGAGCACTCGGTAATAAATTTACGAAGGCTCGGCCGGTAAACTACACATTCGTTGAAAACGAAATTTGTGCCCTTGTACTCTAATGTACTATTAAATACAGGGATCTACAAAAATTGTTACTAAGTAATTTTAAAAGCAGTTTACCGTAAAGTAATCAAAGTTCCTTACTGTTTGATATAAATTTGAAGACAATTCAAATCTCAATTATGATTAAACAATTAATTCTAAATATCTGAATTTCATTTTTCAATTAATCTAATTATCATGATGCTTGCGAAGTTGATTACAGATTTATAAAATATTTGAAAAATTTAAAATGTTCATTGATAATTGATATTATAAAAATTGAAAAATTGTACAATACGGTTGCCTGATTTTGTGTGTAATGAAATAATTTTAATTCTGTGTTACGATTTTGCCTCTGTTTGAATCCAACTTTTTGTGATTAATTTTATTTAATAAAATGCTATGGTGGACATAACATATTTAATCTAGGACTACTGAACGGCCGATTCGCGATTAATTTAAACTATATTATTTTTTTTCACCTTTTCCGTCTCCAGGGTTAGATTAAATTAATTCGATTTATTCTTATTCTTGATATATATATTTTTGGCAACTGCAAACTGCACCATTTACGGTCCTACCGACGAATAACCCCATGAAACACCTTTTTGAATAATGAAAGAATTCTCATCAATTCGATTTCTATCTTTGTCTGTTGATAGAAATGCATTGAATAGCAAAAATCGCGAATTGGAGACTGAAAATTTTTAAAAAGGCATAATCGGCTAGAAAATGGAAAAATTTGTTTTTCTTTATTTGCGTCAGTGGAAACTCAGAATTACTGTTTTTTCTTCAAATATGGGAAGCATATGAATATTTTCAAGTTTTATGATCTCATTTTAACGAAAAGAAATGAAAAAATGGAAAATAACGTGGGCGAGAAGAAATAAAAAATTTCATTTTTCAATGTCTCCGAAAAGTTTTAAAATCGATGTATTTTTTCGAATAATGAGAGAATACCCATAAATTCGATTGCTATCCTTGTCTTTCGATAGAATAAATAGAATAAGTGACGAAAATTAAGAATTGGAAAGTAAAAGTTTTTCGTGATTATTGTTATATAATAAGTAAAAAAAAATTTCTGAATATTTAGCATGAATGATGTTCAAGCGAGGAGTAGGATATTCGAAAAATGCAGCCAATTTTATGAAACTTTTTTCATATATTAGGGGAGGGTAGGGTAGAATGGACACTTGAGACTTTTTTAAAATTATTCACAACTCAGAAACAAATGTGTCAATAGAGTTCAGTTTAGGCTCATCACAAAAGGAAAGAATTGTTCTTTGTATTGAAAAAAAAATTATTAAATTTCATCAATGTTTCAACCCGTTACTCATATTTAAAGTTGCTGCTTTTATATGAGGTTAAACGGGTCATCGATAATTTCAGAATTTTTTTACATTGCCGAATGGTCGATAATGTAGGGAAAATCTACGAGGTATCGATGCTCCCTTTTTAGCTAGCCTCGTGTATACGTAGCAACTTTAGAATTCATTTTTGTTGTTGTCCTGAACCTGGGGTTTCTAAAATTTTGTAAAGGGTGCCTAAATAGATTGAACAATATGTGAAAAAAAATTCATGAAATTGGCTGCATTTTTCGAATATCCAACTTCTCTCGGTGACCACTGGTCGGTAAGTACCCATAAGAGTAAATTACGTGGCGCCCTGTGAGCAACACTAACACTCCCTCGAACTGTTCCCGCCCATTTCCCGGCAGTTGATGGTGTTAGAAACATGGCAGCAGACGAAGAAGTCGTTGAATCTATGGAAATTGATGAAATTCCGTCAACGAGTAAGCAAAATGTGCCTGCAAAAGGAAAGTCCACGAAACTATCACATCTACCATGGTATGTATCCCTTAAAAAGATACAAAAACATCCTGATTAACTTTTTTTGGTGATGAAAGGAGGTTATGTCTATTCGAATGTTTATATATTTCAGGATTGAAAAATATCGTCCACAAGTGTTTACTGACATCGTTGGAAATGAAGACACAGTGGCTCGACTGTCAGTATTTGCACAGCATGGAAATGCTCCGAATATCATCATCGCTGGACCACCTGGTGTAGGCAAAACCACCACAATCCTTTGTCTCGCTAGGATTCTGCTGGGTCCATCTTTCAAGGACTGTGTACTTGAGCTCAATGCTTCTAATGATCGAGGAATCGATGTTGTCAGGAATAAAATTAAGCTGTTTGCACAAAAGAAGGTGAGGAATATTCCTGAAGTAGTTTTCTAACAAATTTAAGAAACAATTTCACATTTTGGACTTTCGAGATGGTATGGTTTGGTAATTTCGTATTATTTGATGGAGTTTTCTTACGAGAAATTAAGGAGGATCATACGGGATATAGGGGCGAGTGGGGCAATATAGACACTTGACTTTTCTCTGTAATCAATAAATGTATTCATCGCCGAGCGATGTAAATTAATCAAGGAATCAGGGATTTTGGAGAAATAAAACACTATGATCTAGTTGTCAAGGATGCGATGTTTCGTTAAATATATTTTAGCGAAACGTCGCATCCTTGACATTTAGACAATAATGTTTTATTTCTCGAAAATCCCTCATTCCCGGATTAATTTCTCTGTAATGTTAATAATTCATTATACGGTTGATGAACCGATAGATTTTTTTTTTATAAAATACAATTCTTTCTCTTTGTGAAGAGTCAAAACTGAGCTCAATTGATGAATTTATTTTAGAGTTATAAACATTTTTTAAAAAGCCAAAAGTGATTTTACTCCACCCTTCCCTAGATGCTGTCAAATCGTCCCTGTAAAAAAAATTTGATAGAGATGAATGCATAGTTGATAAATAATTGACCCTCGATTTTAAATGTTTTGATACGCGTCTGCAGAAAAAATTTTCATTAGTAGGAATTCTTTGTTAAATGGATTGTAACTGTGATTACAATTATCCAATATGAAATTCCTCACGTCGTTCAGTGAGTAAAATCATTTAAATATTTGTTTAACCCCCAGATTAAGTTTCTTTCTTGTATTTCACCTGAAGAAGATATTAAAATAAACGTAACTTTAATTTTGAAGATTGAAATCTGAAATACATTCCAACCGAAAGTTAATGTGAATAGAAACATTCTGGTTGATTTGGCGCTCAATCAGCAGTCAGTATTATTGATAATAATTAATTTATAAATACAAAAATAAGGTAGAGTTTTATGAGGAAATGAACTTATCAAGGTTACGGAGAAAATTAAAATATAGAACAAGAAATCACAAAATCCGAAAAAATAAATAAAAATTCTATGCTCAATATGAAAATTATCGTCGGTGTCAAATTAGAGAGACTATTGTTTAAAAAAATAATTGACGAAAGAATTTAATGGATCAATTCCTGACACTCATCAAAGTTAGAATTTATGGGAAAAATTGTTAATGATGAATAATTTCTTTTGGCTTTTTGAATTTATTTTTCTTTGATATCTTTAACGACTCGACTGGAGTTTATTCATGCTAATTTAAGTAATCATGACGGCAATATTGATATGTTTTTGTTGTAATCAGGTCAATCTTCCTAAAGGAAAACACAAGATAATCATTCTCGATGAAGCTGATAGCATGACTGATGGTGCTCAGCAGGCGTTACGACGCACAATGGAGATTTACAGTCATACAACGAGATTTGCACTTGCCTGCAATAACAGCGAGAAAATTATTGAACCCATCCAGTCAAGATGTGCCATGCTGCGTTATGGAAAGCTGAGTGATGCACAGGTTTTGGCCAAAGTGATTGAAATTTGTCAGAAGGAAAACGTGGGTATTTTCTCTCAATCTATTTTTCAATTGTAAAGTAGAATTTCCCCACACCGAAAAAAGAAAAACCTTTCTCTAGTAAATCTCACTTGCATCAAAAAATTTGTTCATTGATAAGCACTAGGTATGAGTTTCCTGTTCGAAGTATATTAGAAGTCAAGAGAGAATTAGCATTTCTCGATTCGAAATTTCCTCCGATTATTCTCAGTAAGAGTATTCCTAAATGGAATAATATATTTGCCATACTGATACACTGTTGAAAATTGCTTGCTGAGATTTCTGGAACACCTTTTGGAAATGTTTATCACATCGTAGTTCTACTGACATTTCAACGAATTTCGTCATTAAAAATTTCAAATTTTATCAAAAATTCAATGCAAACTGTAAATTTTAATTCAAGTATTCCATGAAAATTAATGAATTGGAAAAATTCAGGTAAACATATCCTTGAATTTTCCAATCATTGAAAATTCAACGTAATTTGATACTGAATTACGTTGAATTTTCATGTTTTGATTGAAAATTCAAGTGAGTACAGCAATGCTCGTCGTCCTGTTACTAATAAATTTGAATTTAATTGAATTTTCAGTCAAATCTAGAATTTTAGGATTTTTCCTGTCAACTATTCATGAAATACTATCTTTTTCTGACAATATACTTGAGACATTACATAATAATTTCAGAAAAAATTGAATTGAGGGTGAATCTATTGGTAGCAAATATTTGTTCTTCTGGTGTGATCACACAAGTACTACATTTTCGATTTTTTCTCCCAAGTAATTTGGTTAGTTCGCAGATCATAATTTAACATGACAAAATGTCATCTCTTGAGAATAATTATAGATTTGACTCTACCCAATACGTATTGGATTACAAAAAATCCTTCCTTGTCGATCGATTTTCGACTAAGAACTGACCCGTCTGTCTCAAACATTTAGAATATTGAATCGAACAATTAATGTTTTATATTAACCCTTCACGAACGGGGCCCTTCTGTTGCCAAGCGTGGTGCGTGTTCAATACGACTCGAATTCGATTATTTCTAATGAGCGTAAAATTATCAAACCAGTTTCTATTTGGAGCTACAGTATTCCGACTTCCAATTTTGTCTGTTTGATCAAGTTATTCTTCACAGATTTGGAAATAATCAATTTTGAAAACAAGCGTTCACATTCGCATGGGTCGTACCATACATCGACCCCGTACGTGAGGGGCTAATTAAAAATAAATGCAATTATCCACACGTTCTTTCCTTACGACAAGTAAATAAGGTTTTGGTAAAAAAAATATTTTCTCTCGTTGCATCACAGATGGAAAACTAAGAGATATCAATTTTTCAAGGTGTCGTATACTGATGATGGCCTTGAAGCAATTGTCTTTACCGCTCAGGGAGATATGAGACAGGCATTAAATAATCTTCAGTCAACTCACAATGGATTTGGTCACGTTAACAACGAAAATGTTTTCAAAGTTTGTGATGAACCTCATCCACTTTTGGTTAAAGAAATGCTCAACTTTTGCGCTCAGAAAGACATTACTAAAGCTTATGGGGTAAGTAAAAAAATGGGACTTCCATTCAATAATTAAAAGTGGAAAATGAATCAATCATTTTGGTTGAGTGAAAGAGTAATTGTCGAGAAAAAAATCAAGCGGACTTTGAGAAATACGTGAAAAAAAATTTTTTAGATAACAAATAATTATTGAATTATTTTGTACTGAAGTCAATAATTATCAGAATTATTTCCCAACCACCCGACAATTTTTTAGAAAATGATTTGATATATTTCATCTTTCTAGGTTTTAGATCAATTATGGAAAATGGGATATTCAGCAGAGGATTTGATCACCAATATTTTCAGAGTTTGCAAAAATCTTGGTATTGACGAGCCCATGAAATTGAATTTCGTGAAGGTAAGTTCGCAATATTCTGTTTTTATAAAATTGTCATCTCTGATTTATTTATTTTTTCTCATAGGAAATCGGTATTACACATTTGGGAATAGTTGACGGATTAAACAGCCTTCTACAACTTCACAGTCTTCTGGCAAGACTTTGTCGTCAAGCCTCAGCGCAATTAAAGAATGCACAGGTTACACACTAAATTCTTCTTAGCCTTAAGTATTTTTTCATACAGAAATAAACATTATATTTATATATTCATAAAAAATTCTGTTCCTCTTTCATAATCTATAATACTAAAGATGGTCGAATATAACTGCAAAATAAGGAGATAATTTGACAAAATATGACGAATATGAGTACATATTTTTGTGTACGAAGTAGGACTACCAATTACTCCTAAGGGGATAATCAAAATGCGAGTGATGTCTCCTGGTTTCCACGGCCTTTGAGGCGGAGATTTTTGTCAGTTTTCCCCTTTCTCCAAAATTTCTTCTTCAGAAGTTATTTGATATTTTTTATACAAAAATATTCACTTAAAATGCATGACACGTGATAACACTGGAAGCACTTCTCACACAATTAAATTCTATAAAATTAAATCTTTTCAAAATTCCACCAATTCCATACGATTTGCACAATTTTTGAGATCATGAAATTTCCATCAAATAAATGTAGTAATGGAATACTGAAGCGAGATACGGGAATTTCTCTTCTAAAATAGTTTTTGATGAATTAATCTCTGAAAACTCATTCTCTTCCATGAAAGATAAACTCTCTTTGAAAATCTATCTATTCTCCGTTAAGGATATCCAAATACTTCATTCCAGTTAGCAACTTCTTTTCAAGCAAGATTTCAGGTTTCTCAAAAATCTTGTTATCCTCATACGTATTCGGATTTTTCATTGTTGAATACATTTTTTCGGGAATTTTTTCAATAAATATTGTGAATAATATTTTATTCAATTTCACACTTGACTCTCGTTGGTCTAACGTCTAATGATCATATGGTAACACAGGGTTGGGCAAGTAAAATACCACCGGTATTTTACCAAGTTTTCTATATGTAAAAAAATCAGTAATTTACCAAAGAGATTTTAGACCTTTTTGACCGCGTGTGCGCGTGATTGAGAACAGCACAGTTGTTCTGGCGTGAGAACAACCCCGTTGACAGGGTTGCATGGGAGGCAGGAAAGACAATCACAACGGTCCAACAATTATGAGGGTCAAACAAAAGGAGCAGGAAGGAAAATCGTCAAGGGTTCAAACGGGAGACTCGCAGGTATAACCCTTGCGACCTCTGAACCTTGCAACGTTGGCCTCATGTGAGGGGTATAATCGTTGCCACATTTGACCGTCGCGAGACGGTCAAGATATGGACCTTGTGACGTTGGACCCGCGTAAGAAATAATCTGTCATGAAATTTAGTCACGAGGGTTACTGCAGTGATAGTCGGATGAGGGGTGGTTTGCTGCCAGTTATTGACCGTTTTTACCATTTAGAGGTAAATTACCACTATTCTACCACGTACTGTAGAAAACTCCGATTTTCAGTGAACGACCCAACCTAACCCAACACTGCACATGTGTTCTATTGGGGACGCTATAAATCGCTGCGATGTCTGGTGGGTATCGCCTGCACTAAGAGAAATGACCGTCCGATGGTTTATCGTTGGTACTTCAATCAATTAATTTCCAAATCCTCAAGTTTTTCTAAAATATGACAACATCGGAACTTCGAGTACAACAATAAAAAACAATACTGAAATGAATGAGTCGAAGAGGAACTACTACTGTCAGCTACAATGTGAGGGTTTGAACAAGTTTGAACGGGTAAACCACCGGTCGTCCATGTTATCATCGGTAAATAGCGGTCCCAATAAACCTCGTAAATTCGGTTCGAGTAGTTAAGGTGTTTCATCTGAAAAGTCAAAATAATAAGAAAACGGTTCTTACGATGTTCTTAAAAAACTAATCCGTGATAAATTCACAAATTCCGAGTACGGTGATTTTTTTTAAAATTTCGTGAACGCATTCTTTATTTGATTAACAAATAATTTCTTATTTGATTCAAACAGTTATTGTCGCCTGCAGCAACAACAGATAACAATGGAAAAACTCAATAATCTATGAGAATGCAATAAATTAAGTTATTTCGAATTTTTTCCGGAAATCCATAGGGAGTAATTTTTGGATCCGATTGTCTTGGAATATACCTTAAGCGGACCGTTGCCAGATGTCGGAAACACACGGATTCAAGCCACCCAATATGATCGTCGTACCAGTCAAAAAGCTTCTAATTCGATTGTTTATAATTATCTGTCCAGAAACTTACGTTTTTTAATGTCGTAAAAAAACTAAAGAGTATAATGAACAAAGTCACATTCGGCTATGTGCACGAGAAAACGCTTTACGACTATGAACACAGCAAAAACGAGTATCTGAATTTCACACACCTTTCGTAGATATTTTTCAGACACTAAAAAACGTCTGAATAAATTGAAAATGTGTCTGAATTTCAGACGAACAGATGCTCAAACCTCTTAATTTATGTTTGAAATTCAGACATTCGTTTTTATTGGATTGAAGGTGGAAGTATACAGCTCTTATGGACGCAATGTGTTAAATGTTGTTGTTTCAAAAATCGTTTTCTCGCAGCAATCTTCGGAAACTAAAGTTGATATTGCGCCTAAAAAATACTCTTGGTCAATTCTATAAACTCTGAAGAGGATTTCCCCTCGAAAAAATTTCCTGAACTACTTGGATATCCTTAATTACAAGACATCCATCAAAAACTGACCTTGAAGAGGAGTTGGCTTATCTCGCGCCACTCTTTCCGCTTTTTTTTTTAAACTAAAAAATTGAAAAAAATTCAACACCATTTATCAATGGGAACTGAAGTGAGAGTTGGCCTCGGTTTGGGGGATGGCCATCTCAGTGCACTCTGACACGATTCAGCTCTAGAAGGTGTTCTGGGTGGGGGTTGCGGTGGTTGATCACTCTGGTGGCCATTGGTAGCCTCGGAACTGTTCTCAGATCGACTGTTAGCCTTTTCAATCGGTGGATCCCCCCGATGATTCCTCTTGGTCGGCTTTTTTGGGGTCTCTGGGGGCGCCTGCGTTGTACCGTCAACGGACTGGAGACTAGCAGCTCGATGTAAAGAAAGACGTGCGGGTTTTTTTGGTGGTGTTGGCCGACTCCTTGCTTGATGGAAGTCGTAGATCACCGATGCCTCCGAGTGCTCCGAAGCACGAGACTGTGTATCCTATGGCAGAAATATTCATTATTCTTTTTTTCATTCAGCATGTTTGTGAGAAATGGATAAAATTCGTACACTTCAATGCTTTCAGCGTCAAAAACCGTCCTGAGACATATGTAATTGATAGTCAGTTATTCCGGTTGTAGAACCATACACAAATTTTACTGATTTTTGTATTCTCTACTTGCTTCAGAGTTTCTACTTCGTGTAAACTTGAATGAAAGTAGAGAGACAGTTCTGCCCTGAAATTCACGTGTTAAATGGTCGATTGAAAATTTCAAAGAGAAAATTGACATTGAAATTGAAAAAAGTGATAAGGTCACAAATTACATTCGCATTATATTGAAAATATTCCAAAACACACAAAAGACACGTTGGTGACATCCGTGGGAATGTGCCGCCGTGTTAATTAGCTTTCAACGTTGACGAATTTCCTGTACACTGCCCGGGCGCGTTTTGCGAGTTTACGGGAACATTGCGTGACGGCCATTCCATTTAACATGAAATAAAATTTTACTGTTGCTAATGATTTATTTTCTTTTGGAATTTTGGGAATTATGGTATTTTAAAATCCCTATAATGTGTTGTACACTTCAATTAAAAAAGTCAAATTTTTTAAAAAATTTCGGCTATTCACTAAAAAACACATTCTATCAATTATCATTTGTGTCAAGTCATCAATATTGTTTAATTATCACGATCAATTATCTAGTGTAAATCAACGGACCATTGAGTGTTTTTATCGAACAATTATCAGTGTAGAATCAACCGATTATTGTCAATTAAATCTTTGTAAATTCATCGACTCTATCTGTGTCACATCACCGGTAAATTTATTCCAGTCTTCCGTATAAATTAATCAGTGCCTCAACGAACATAATCAGACAATTATCAGACAATTAATAGTTAGTTTGTTCATTTTTGTACAGCCCATTTAATTATTGTGGATACATTGTCTTGGCTCAAGTCTAAATCAACAGTGTAATTTGTGAAATAAATTCTGAACTTCCACTTCCCACCTCCATCCACCTCATCCCGGGAATCAACCGAAACAGATTTTCAACAGTTTTCTTAGCCTGCTCCCCAATATCTGTGTCACCATTTTTGGCGTGATAGAGAAATAGTCTTCCGTGTGAAAAGTAAAGAAAAAAATTGGTCTGGGCAGTTGGTCGCTCGCTTCGCTCGCTCCCATTACGGGTGGTTTGTAATTCGACTGGGTTTTGGTCGCTCGCTGCGCTCGCTCCCTCTGTGGGAGGATTGGAGTGGGTGGGTTGAAGTGGGTGGGTTGGAGTGGGTGTGACCCATTACGGGTCGAACCAATAACTTCCCGACCGATTCCCATTTATCTGTTCATTAGAACAAAAAACGCAAATTTTGAAATTTCCATCTTGATAACTAGACAACCGCTGAGACGATTTTTTTTTCAATTCAACAAGATTGACTCTACACAGAGACGTATTGATTATATCCAAAACGAAGTAGTGAAGAGAAATCTGAGTTATCGTTGAACGCTACGAGTTGGAAATCAAATTCTCGTTTGTTCGAATGTCGATTTTCTGCGGCATGACGAATCAATTTCAATTCGCGACGCTTATCGGTAATTCACATTTCTATTTTATTTTATTTTAAATTTTTGTGTGATTACAGATTGTTTCTCTCAACTCCCATGCACATACAGTTCCAGAGATATCGTTCAAATCAGTAGATCATTCCAAAATACTCGTGTCATGAACCAATAGACTTTCTCCAAAAAACATCATTATATTTCCCATTGAATGTTCTCTTTGAAATCGACGGAATTTGATGGATTACTGTTTATGGCTATTTGAATGAGTTATGAATCTAATGATATCTCCATGTTTCATGACTCTTCGAATCTTTCAATGATGTTTTCGAACACATGTCCATCTCTCCCTCTTTCTCTTTCTGTGTGTGAAATTTTCGGGGATCCGATTTCTCTTGAACGAACGGTGCAATTTAAATGTTTGTTTTACAATCGATGCATCTCCATGTAACTCAGAACCCATCATTTTCAAAAGATGATTGGCTCAGTTAATTTTTTTAGCAGCAAAAAACACGTAAAAAAGTAAAAAGTGATAGATTTCGAGTGGAAAAAAAACAGAAGCATTATTTTTTAAATAACTAAACAACTGCTAAGATGATTTCTTTTTCAATTAAGTCAGATATTCTCTACACAAAGACGCATCGATTGCATGAGAAATAATTCAAATCGCATCATTTCTTCAGGAGAAATAGTCAAATTTGCAGAAAAAACATCATTTTTGACATTTTTTCACATGTTTTTTTGCAAATAACGGAAGAACCGCTGAGTCGATCGTCTTCAGAAACTAATCAGTTCTAAGTTACATGAAGATGCGTCGATTGAAAAAAAAACTGACATTGCACTGTTCCTTGAAGAGAAATCGTAGCTCCAAATTTTTTGCGTCACATACATTCGCACACACACACACACACACAGACGGACATGTGTTCGAAATCATTGTAGAAAGATTCGAGGAGTCATGAAACGTGGAAATTTCATTGAATTTCAACTTTTGATTTTCGGGGTCATTACAATAACTTCCTTCGGGTCGGGAAGTTAAAAAAATGAAAAATACATGGGAGAACTAGCTGAGTATACTGCATCGTTGGGATTTTTTCGTATCTTTTTTAGATCTTAGCCTCAAGAAATAAATCACAAAACTGGAATATTCTTGTAACCTCTTTGACACTCTTAAGTGACGGGGAAAAAAAATCAATCAATCTGACAACAACATTAATAATCCAGAAATGTTCAAAAGTATACTGAAATATTTATTTGAAAATTGAAAATTTTCGTATTCACGAATTGAGATAGCGATCGAAAACAATGAGATTCACCTTCCGTTTCACCTTCCCCCCTCCCCCTGTAATGATTGTGGTATTTGGGAGAGACTTCAATCATTAACAGAAATGAAGTGGATAAACTCCAGAAGATATTGTTTATAATATTTATTATAAACGCGTCAAGTGTACGGATATTTATAAGAATGATTAAGATGCGAAGTAAATACAGAGTGAATATAATACAGTGTGCTAACCTGTCGGCAATATACAGTAGACTGATCGTGATATTCAGGATTACGAATACCGGACAAAAGGGAAAAGAAGAATACCTTTATTCAATGTATTTAGGAGGAATTAAAATGTATTAAAATAAGATGAGGCATGACGTATGCCGGGCGAGACCGAGATATATCGATGCCGATCGAGGCATTCTTAGTTAAAGGCGTTGTATATAGTACGAGCACTACACCCCGCCCCCTCTCAGCAATATAGACTGAAATACCTTAAGGGGAGACTCCGATGAGTTTTGAACATCACAAGTTATTGAAGTGAGTATGCACCTCAAATATAAAAAAAGTGATTTGTAATTGTTTTCCTGCACATTTCTTGAAAAAATTTTGTGGGAAAGAAAGTTTCTCATCCCAAGAATTGAGGGCACTAGGCTGTTTTTTCGATTCTATCATTTTAGGTTTCGACATGGATAATGCACAATGAAAAATGAGTTTTTTTCACACTAATGATCAACTCGTCGATATATGCTATATAGAGGAAATATATGGAGATGCTCACTTCTATAATCCGTGATGTGCAAAACTCATCAGAGTATCCCCGTAAATATCTACGAACTAATCTAACAACATTGTTCAACTTTAACGAGAAATATTGAATGCTACAAGTATTTCATATTTTGTACCTGCATACGAGAATAAGTAGGCTCTGAATCAAACTCAAGTGATGACAGTCCGTGCATGCTCTTCCTGGTCTTATTCAAATCAACAGTTGAATCATACTTGCTAGAACGTCTTCGATGTGATTGCATCGTAGTTTGTGATTTGCAATCCAAACTAGCAGTTGATCTTGTCAATTGAAGGGTTTTATCTCGATGCCGTGACTTGTGATGCAAACCCTCCATCAGTAAATCGAGCTCCTTCGGATTGATCCTACGTGAATGATCACTATGACGGTTTTTCGAACTAGTCAAGCTATGTCGCAAGTCTCCAGAACTGCGCACCTTCATACCCGGCAAATTACCCACAAGAGCAGTTACTTGAGGACCCTTCTGATAAACTTGCAGATTATCCTTCCTAGGCGGGGGGGAATCTAGCGTTACTTCTGTTCTGACTGGTGATAGGAGATCTCTCACTTGCTCCTCGAGATAACCGATTCTGTGAGTTAACCGAAGATTTTCAGTTCTCAAAGTTCTCAGTACTCCCAAGGACTCACTCTTTCGTAATACAACGATCTGTGCAGCATCTGGGGCCACTGCTAAAAGCCTTGCCAAGTCACTTCTACTAGAACCCACCACCAACTTTCCATTCACCTCCAAAATCCTGTAAATCATTGAATAAAAAAGTAAATGAATTATTTAAACATGGCAACTTATGCGTCTTTTTTCGCAGTAAATATCTAGATGCTCTCCACAAAAGTTTTGGCCTTATAAAGTTTCAAACTACAATTCAAAATATCATTCCGAGAAAACGTGAAGGATTTATCTCATTAATAAAATTAATATTCAACTGACTCTAACCCTTGAGAAAGAAAGAAAAGAGCAGAAAAGACTGAAGTTATCTATCTAGACAAGAAGAAACCACGGGAGGAAGTTCCTCATCATGTTTTATGAACCGTTTTTCATGAGCCATAATAAACGATAACATTGGGTGAAGTTTTTGACGTAGCAAAAAATTCCCAAACTTTACGAGTACATTGCCAAAAAATTCCGAACTAAGTAATGTAATCCAATGAAAATTCTACGTCAGTGTGATATCAAGGAGATTGGAGGGTCATGTGAAATTTGTTGGGTGCTGGGGAGAAACTGGCAATTAGCGAGGGCACGCGGCGAACTTCCGCCCCGTTAGTTTATAGTTCACGCTATAGAGGAGACGCCCGGGAATGCGAGATTCCAGATTGCCCATTGTTCTGCGGTGATTGTGATCCTGTAACTTCTACCCATGTCTACGTTCCTTTATATTTTGTAATGACGAGAAGGGAATGCGTCATTCGATTATCCGACGATGAGTTTTCTCAGTTAAGTGAACATGGAATTTGACATCGGAGTAATTTCAAGATTTATATAATGTTCATTCAAGGATTTCTAGAAGGTTAAAGAGAAAGTTGTTGGACATACGACATGAAAATTCCCTACTATATTTCTCTATTTTTACTATGATTATATGTGATGACTCACCTATCCCCTTTGCAAAGACCGGAATCTTCAATAGCCCAATCGACATATAGGCCAGCTGCATCATCCCTCGGACCTGCACCAAATCTCGGGCTCTTTGGATCGGCACTCACTTCCACCGCATGTACTGTCATTTGTGCTCCCCCCGTAATACAGCTAATGGGACGATTGTAGTATGTTATTTATTGGCACAAGATCAGCAAATACGAATCTGAGGGCTATTCTATTAAATATCGACATGGAATATAACCGCTGAAATTTAGAAATTCCATCAATCATTTCCATACGTCCACATATTTCAAATGAAGTGCTTTTCGTCAAAGAAAGGGCTTCCGACATATATACCCCCACTCTACCCACATTCGAAGTTTCCTTTTTATCCAAATCCACATTTCTTCTTTGACATGACGAAATATACAATGAAATGAGCCCAATTTGAACTCCCGGGAAATTTTCCCATCGTTAACCTCTCACGTACGGGGGTACCATGTATCGATCCATAACAATGTAAATGATTCTCTTTAAAATTGATTATTTCCAAAACTACGGAAAGTAACTCAACCGAACAAATTGCAAAAAAAGGAATACTATAGCCTCAATTGCATATCGATTCTGTAAGTTGCCGTCGATTAGAAGTCATCGTATTTTCGTTGTATGAAGCGTACACCACGCTTGGAAACAAAAGTGCCCCGTCCGCGACGCGTTAATTACAAGCTACAGAATCAGTGGAAAAGGAGCCGTAAACATAATTTTTTTTCGACAATTGGCCTTATAGTTTTTGATATTGCCATTTTGCGAAAAAAAATGCAAAAAATTTCCCATACCGGGAATCGAACCCGAGCCTCCTGGGTGAAAGCCAGGTATCCTAGCCACTAGACCATATGGGATATGGAATTATACCAGAATATTTGTTCATATCAGACCACTGAAATTTTGAAATTTCATTGATCATTTCCGTGTGGCCAGATAATTCAAATGAAGTGGTTTTTTTTTGCCAAAGAAAGGATTTCAGCCGTATATGCCCTCTCCACCCACATCCCAATTAGTTGTGATCTGCATCATGAAATCCAGGTTTCTTCTTTGACAAGACGGAATGTATAATTAAATAAGCTCAATGTGAACTTCAGGGAAATTGTTCCATTTTCAATTACAGATTACAGGATCAAAAGGAAATGAGTTGTAAATATGATTTTCGTGCAGCAGCCAAATGTTTCTTTGACTTTCCGGAGGGGAATGGGTAGGTAGTTACTGTTGTGATTCAATAGCAGGACAGGTACAACCCTGGTATACTAAGCGTACCAAGTACTGACAAAAATGTACCTCTATTGTATCAGTATCCCTATACTGGTATAATATCTCTATGGCATACTTTGGGACTAGTATGCTGTGAAAGCTAGACCTGATTGAATTTCTGTGGAAGTTGAAATTAGTTACCGATATTATCGACTGCCGCTACCGCAGTCGATATATTAACCCACTGCACATGGAAAAATGGTAGCAATCAATTTTATTTTATAGCTTTTTCTTCCTTTTGAACACGAGAAATCATTTTTTGAATAAATCTTTAACATAGTTATGTGGAAACTATGTGATGTGAATATGAGGGTTGCTCGGCACATATACACATACGCCTCTGTGTGTCTTCGTCGGTGATAAAACAGCAGAATTTACGAAAATTATTCATTTTATGTCACTACCAAGCGTAGGAAAATCAAAAAGAAGTTGGGGTCAACTAAAAATCGGTATTACCACCCCAGATGTAAGTGATGATGTTTTTTCCCATTGAAAATTTTAAACTGTTCGCAGAGGATGGCATATTTCAGACATATTCTCTAAAGAATTCCCAGACCTTTAAGCTAAGATGAAAAAAATAGTTACCGTTGAACAATAGAATTCAAATTTAGGTCTTGCTTAGTCACTTAATCAGCAAACGAGCTCAAATACGCTTTTTTTTGTTCCATTTGAAATCCATCTTGAAACTCGAATAAAAAATTAAAATTTAGATTTCGGAGAATTACATATGATGTCGATCTTCGATAGAATAGCAAGGATGCAAAAATTAAAAATTCATGGAATATTATCAAGGACGTGGAATACCTGAAAACTGTGTCATTTTTCTGCTTTTCTTGGGTCTCTGCCAACTCTAATGCCGACTGTAGTGCTCGACTCTCTTCCCGCAAGGTCAGTAATTCCAATTCCTCCCGGCCGAGTCTGTACTCTAATTCCGCTTGTTGTATCCTCACATCGATGTTGCTGGAAAAAATCATTTTTTTCAACAATTGTCATTATAGCTTTTTGACATGGTTTTTTACGAAAAAAAATACAAAAAGTTTCCCATACCGGGAATCGAACCCGAGCCTCCTGGGTGAAAGCCAGGTATCCTAGCCACTAGACCATATGGGATATTGATATTTTTATGAGAATTTATCGGAAATATATAGGCAGAAGTTTTTTGTATTTTTTGACGAAAAAAAAAACAAAAAAATTCCCATACCGGGAATCGAACCCGAGCCTCCTGGGTGAAAGCCAGGTATCCTAGCCACTAGACCATATGGGATATTGATGTTTTTATGAGAATGTGTCGGAAATATATAGGCAGATGTTTTTTGTATATTTTTACGAAAAAAAACAAAAAATTTCCCATACCGGGAATCGAACCCGAGCCTCCTCGGTGAAAGCCAGCTATCCTAGCCAAGTATTGTCAATACTCCTGTGTTTTATGCAATAAAAATACTTATAGACAATAGGTGGTGCTGGACAGAGTACGACGCGGTGGAGAGAGAGGGAATAATTAGTCTCTTTTTTACTAATTAACACGCCCGTGACGTTCAGATCTATGGTCCACCAGGCGCTATAGCTATTAAGCGTATCACTCGTTAAAACTGCTTGTGCCTGGTGATGAGGAGATAGTTGCGGTGAGAGGTTTTGTATCAGGAAGTAAGGTTATGGCCACATGGAGGGAGGATAAGTTGGACGTATTACGTGGGTTTTTGGAGGCCCATGGACCTACACCAGTGAGTACACAAGTGACACAGTCCTTAGCAGATGATCTTAACAACAGGTCGTTGGCTAGAGGTAGGCAGCGACGATCAGCTGCTGCAGTAAAAAAGAAGCTAGTGAAGTTGAGAAAGGAGGCGAGAGATGTGGGTGAAGTCCCACAGGGTTGCATAAGGAGGGCGAGATCGCCTAGATGGACAGAGGAGGAAGAGGAGAGGCTGGTGAGGCGGTTTACGGAGCAGAGGGGTGCTTCGATCGCGGAGAGAGTTCGGTTAATTGCACCGGAGTTTCCCAACAGGTCAGTGGGCATGCCAACTAAGCGGTTAAGAACTAAATCTCCCGAAATCTATCACATGGGGCAGAAAAATTTTCCGCGTGATGACCCTGAAGGTAACGCGCGTGATGAGCGCGGGCAATCTGGTACGCTGGCAGGTGAAATTGCTGCGAGAGGGGAAGGTGCCTTACCCGTCGAGGCAGGGTTGCGCCCTGCTAGTGATATTATCATCGTTGTGACAGATAGAGAGGAGGTTAACGGCGTGCCCCGAGAGGAGGAAAGGGGCGAAGGCAGGCCTCAGGAAGATGGGGAACCCACTGGGGAGCTCGACCGTGGTGAACCAGTCGCGCAGAGACGTACCGCTGCATTCAGAAGGATACTGGGGGCCTTGAATAAAAATCCGAAAAGCCCCCAATTCAGGTCAATGAAAATATCTGAGTATATATGTAAAAAGATCCTGAATGATGTCGATGCTATTCTGCAGACTGAAATGGAGATCATAAGAGGGAAAGGGCTTCCAGAGGCCCGGGAGAGGAAGGAAATCAAGCAGGCGATTCTGGCGGCGGTGGTTTTTCTAAAGCAGGAAAGTGGAGGGAGATCCAGGGATGAGCCACCGGAGTTCGTGAGGACGTCAAGGATGGTGGAGAAGTTGCGGAGGAGACTCAAGGTGGCAGAGAGCATGAAGGGCTGTGGTAGTAACCTCAATCCTGCGCAAAGGGCGGTCGTACATCAGTACGTGGAGGGACAGAGTCGAGTGTCTGAGGTTACGTGTGGGGATGCAGAAAGAGAAGTACAAGTCTCAGGCCCTTAGAAAGAGGTTCGCAAAAAATCCTGCGAAAAGGATAATTGAGGAGCCACCAGGTAGAGTGGACCTAGACCCTGGCACTGTGGAAAGCTATTTTAGAGAGTTTTTCAGTGCGGTGAAGGGGGATAGACCAGCGTCACCTATTTTTAATGCATGGATGAAAAGGCTGAGGGTCCATCGAGAAGAGGTGAACGTAAGAGAGCTGGAGGACGAGGTGTTGGTGGACGCAGTGAAGTCTGCCCTCAGGGAGACCAGACCATGGAAGGCCCCTGGGGAGGATGGAATCCCGGCAGGTGGTTACAAGCTGCTGAGCAGCGCGAGGGGGTACCTGGTGTCAGTCATAAGAGACACTCTTCGGGGCTTGAGGCACCTGAGCGAGGTGGACGTCAGGGGGCGAGTAGTGCTGCTGTATAAGAAAGGGGACCGTGCGCATCCGGTGAATTACAGGCCGATTGCGGTGTTGAATACAAACTACAAGCTTCTGACGAATGTCGTAACCCAGCTCATTCACAAGAATCTGCCAAAGGTGGGCCATCCCTAAGCAGCAGCTGGCTAAGGCCAAAATATCGGGTAGTCTCCAAGGAATGTTGATAGATTCGGCGCATTCCCAGGCGGCGAGGCTGAGGGTAACTCAATCGTCAATGAGATCACGCCCGTACAACTTTTCGGCATGGTATGATTTTTCAAAAGCGTACGATTCGATCCATCACCACCAGCTGATTCGGTTGATTGCGGTTATGCCGGTGACGCAAGGGGTGAGAGATGCCTTGAAGACGGCCACGAAGAGGTGGTCGATTGTTATACAGGTGGGACGGGGGATGACGAAGCCGATCAGAGTGGCGAGGGGAGTGTACCAGGGAGATACGGTCAGCCCTCTGCTATTCATCCTTATTACTGCCGGAATTTTGGACTGGCTGAGGATGGATGGAGCGATAAATAGGGTCACCAGAGGTCAGCACGTAGTGCTAGCATTTATGGATGATATTAAATGCCATGCCCAATCTCAAAAGAGGATTAGCATTATGACGAGGGTGTTGACTGCGGCGGCGACGGAGGTGGGACTAAGTCTGAACAACTCCATGTGCGGAGTCTTTGTGGTGCAGCCTGGAGAGGAGCATCGGAAGAAGGAGCAGGGGGCGGATGGAGGGGTGGGGAAGCAGTGAGGCCCAGGGAGGAGTTAGCTCGAGATGAGGTGTTTCTTCCTGAGATCAGGGAAGGGTACAAATACCTTGGCATAAAACAGTTGGAGCGGACCTGGGGGTTAACGAAGTGACGGTCAGGGGTAAGGTTTTACAGGAGACTGTAGCCATTTTGTCATCTAAGTTGGCAGTACCTCAGAAGATCCACTTATTCAACACTTCGGTCGTGCCTGCAGCAACATATGTCCTGGGGAACCTATACCCTGATGAGCAGCAGAGAACTTCTGTAGTAGTTCTACTGTAGTGCAGACAGTTGGACACCGAGGTCAGAAAAATGCTTCTGGAGAAGAAGCTTAAAGGGTACTCCACGGCGACAGCGGGAATGTATCTGTGCGGATTGAGGAGGGTTGGGGCTTATGTCGATTGCGGAGTATGTGGAACAGCAGCAGGTGCGGCGAGGAGTGTACCTTCAGCTCTACCCGGATATGAAGGAGGCGATGGCGCAATTCCAGAGGTTGGCGAGGAAGGGGTGGAGGAATCCCATAACAGATGTGGCAAGGATTCTCCAGAGGTATGGACTGGAGGTCCCACAAGCGGTCCCACACTGATTGGGAGGAGCTGACGCCGGATGGGGTCATGTCGGTGTGTAGGAAGGCGGCCAAGGAGGTAGAAGCAAGGCAGGAGGATTGTCATTTCCCGAGATGAGGCCATGAGACCATGAGAACAATTTGAATATTATATTTCGAACATTTGTAGAAACATTATATTGGGTATCGTAGAGGGTCCAGGTGGCCTACACGAATACTCCTGTGTTTCATGCAATAAAAATACTTGTAGACTGCACTTCAATTCCAAGTAAACTTTGGGAACGACGAACTTGCTTTTCTTTTTCATTTGTTTAATGGCTCCCTCTGAACTGCTGAGCAATAATTATACGGGTGACTTATCAAGGGTTATTGATTGGTTAGAACTTAGTAGTCACCAGATGGAATTGGAATTGAAATCGTTCCCATGCGAATTGAATGCCTAACCCAACAAACTCGGCTAAGGTCTGTTTGTTTCGGCCACTTGAAGCGCTTCAGATGGGTCAGGTTCACAACTTACGTAAATTTAGTTTGATTAGGCTTGCGCAGTTTTGGTTGACTAGATTAAAAAATTATTCATTCACAATTTAATATGATTTCAAATGAATCAATAAGAACATAATTTTGAGTTCTAAACTGTTAATTGAGTTTCTGTGTTGAAAAATTCTATTTAGCAGTATAACTTCAAAGAAGTACTAAAAATTCTATTCATTGACGAGTAAAAAAAAACTTTCCAATCAGTGAGAATGAGTGGTGAAAGACTTGAAATGAGCAAAATAACGAACATTCTCAGAGAACGGATGTCTCCGAATTTTGGTTGTTGCATCTATACTCAAAAAGACAGCGCACTCTGTACTCTTATATTGCACAGAGTAATTGACGCGATAGTCGAATTTATTCTATGTTGATCCTTCCCGGAGGTGTTACCTGATCTACCGATTTATTAGAGATGAAGCTATGATGTTAGGGCGAATTGGGGGGAAGTGATTTAGCCAGAGTAAAAGTTAAGAAATACGTGAATTACAAAACCCTTTGATGATGTACTTTATTTGTGGCGTAAGCCACGCGTCTTGAAATATTAAAGGTGCACTGTTGGTTGAACGTCTCGAATTCATTGATGACTGTCTTTATAATTCACTGGATAATCTCTCGGTATTGAATAGATAAAGAACTCAAAATTGATTCACACTGACTCGAAATTAACTAATATTTGAGTTTAATAGAGACGCTACAGTGAGGAATCGACTCAATATCTCGCACTGAGATGTAATTCCCTGATGTTGACTCTTCCCTAGGTCTACTCCTTGGTACGGCCAGCCTTTCTCCGGTATGGCTGCTAACGACGAGGGATCCGAAAGCAATAAAATAAAAAGTCTAAGGAACGTGATTGCAATAATTAACCACAATTCACTTAAACGCATTGTATAATTGATAAATACAATTTTGATAAACTA